AAAAGTGATAATTATAGTGATGGGATAGCAGAAAAATTTACGAATACTCTCCAAAACTTAATTGACAACCAAATAAGAAAAAAATGAGAAAGAATGTTTGAATTAAGAAATGAAATCACCAACTGAAAAAAATCGGGGGAAAAACTAAGCCCGCCAACCCGCAAACTTTTTAAGGAAATTCAATCCGGATTGGCAACCGAACTTCCTACAGAACCCTCGCTTTTATCCGTGATTGAAGAAATTGAAAACGTGGAAAAAGAATGAAAAAATATAGTTGGTTCTTTGACAGAAAAAGGCACTAAGAAAAATGAAATTAAATGAGACAAGATAAAAGAATTAAGTAGTAGTAAGTACAAATTAGAAGAAGATTATTGAAATTATTGAGAAAATAGCAGAAAAGGCCGGGGACAAAAGAAAAGGACCTTGGCCGCTTATATTTTGCAAAGAGAATTATGAGAACTAATTCTTGAACCATTGGAGAAAAAAGGCGAAGAGCATTGGGAAAACATTCTTTTAAAAAGCATGAAAGAAAGAGTAAATTTTCTCCAAAAACAAGAAACAAATTTTTCTTATGTTAACGAAGAAGAAAGAGAAACAAATTTTCCTTTTAATCAACTTTTGACTACTCTCTTGCAACAAGAAATTTATCTTTTTCTAATAAATAATGCTTACCAACAAGACAACGACCCCTTAGTAAAAAGCGAGAGTGAAAACATCCTAGCCGAATTGAGCGAGTATCGGACATTAAAAGACGAAGCAAGCCCAGGGGAAGTAAAAAAATTATTAGCCGCAACTTGAAAATTACTTTATTTTTCTTGTCAAATGCCCCAAAAGATTAATGATGACCCAGTGAAATGAAAATTTTTTGCTGGTGGCGAATTTTGAAACGGCGAACGTATGAAGCACGAGGGGTATATAAGCGATGAAGACTTCGGTGAAAAAGTTGTTTTTTGCTATTTTCCCTGGATTGGACACGAGTTGGACGGAGGAGAATACAAAACCGTAGTTCCAGCCAAAGCAATTAACGATAAAGGATGAGAAGAAATTTGTGAAGAAAAACAAGAAGCCGAAAAGATTACGTTTGAAGTTTACATAGAAATATACTTCTGCCCCTCTCTTCATCCGCCAAATATTTCTGATTATATTCGTTTCTGTCGCAACTTTGCTTTGCGAAAAGGAGCATTAGTTTCTGATATAAAAGCCAAAGATTTCTTTTTTATTCATAGAAATCATCCAACACTTATTGACAAACCTTTATATTATGGCATAAAGGATGATTACAATTATACTCTTTCTCTCTACAAAAACGAAGTGGAAAAGCAAGTTTTTGAAGTGGGAGATTTTGTAGAATTAGAATTAGTAGAATTTAATAATTAATACTTGACTTTTAGAGGCACAACTAACAAAAATTCTTCGTTTCCACAACTTCCTAACCAAAAAATATAAAATTACTATAATTACGACTACAATAACCATAATGAAAACCACTATCGGCCTATGAGGAAAAAAACTGGCCATGACCCAATTACCATCAGAAAAAGGGATTTATGTGCCCGTCACTGCCGTTCTTGTTAGTCCTAATACCATCGTCCAAGTAAAAACCGCCAAAAAAAATCACCACACGACGATTTTCGTCCAACTGGCTTTCGAAGCATGCCAAGCCCAAAATTTAAATAAGCCCCAATTAGGACATTTGCAAAAAAATAATGTTTCTCCACATCGCTATTTACGTGAAACAAGGATAGAAGTCCCAGAAGAGTCAGCAGTTCAAGCAATAATGTCACGGTTGGTAGTGGGTTCTCAGTTAGATATTTCTTTATTTGTAGAAAAGGAGAAAATTAAAACCACTGGTTTTTCTCGAGGTAAGGGAACTGCCGGAGTAAGAAAAAGGTATAATAAAAAGCGTGGTCCGAGGTCTCATGGTTCAGGATTTCATAATGCCATTGGTTCTACGGGTTCAGGACGAGATATGAACCGAGTATTGAAAGGCAAAAGAATGCCAGGTCGTATGGGAAACGAAAAAACTAGTATTAAGAATATGACAGTGGAAAAAATTGACCCCGAAAGAAAAATTATCTTTTTACGTGGTGGTGTTCCCGGACCCCGCAAAGGTTGGTTGCACTTAACCAAAGATTTTTTGGGATAATAAAATTATAAGCCATTAAATTTTATATATAACAGCAATAACTAAAATAATCCGGAAGAAAGAATAAAATTAAAAAAACTAAATAATATCATGCCAAACGCCCAAGCATATTTCAACGAACGCTACTGATGCAGAAGGGGAAGTGAAACCTGATTATATGAGAGTTACCAAGAATTATATGGTAGTTTGTCTCTAACCGGATTTACTGCACTAAGAAATTTAGTTTTGGATAGTAATAATTTAACCAGTATTGATATTAGTGGTTGTCCGAATTTAATTGAACTTACACTTCATAACAATAATTTAACTAGTTTGGACTTCAGCCATAATTCTCGACTCGAAGAAATCTACATTACAAGGAATAATATCACGGCCGATTTGCGGATTTTTTCTCATCTTGTTAAGCTAAGAGTGTTAAACATAGCGGGAGAAGGATGTTATCACAGAAGCGGGGATGGCCGCCACAACACCTTCTCAGGCTCCTTGGCTAGTTTGCGAAATTGTCAATTTTTAGAAGAATTATTCATTGTCAACCAAACACTTATTCAGGAGGGGTTAGAAGAATTACCCACTAGTCATTTAAAAAACTTCTCCTGTAAGGGAACTGTTTTTTTCGCCGAATTAGAACCGCTTAATTTTAATGTTGAGACTTGAAAAGCAAAGTGGGCTATCCAGAAAGCAGAGGAAATAGTCGAGGAAGAAAGAATAATCCACAAGGACGCAATGAAAATTATGAATGAGTGATACCAGGGAACGATAGATGGTTTGAGAATGCAAATTGATATAATAACTGGAAAATTAAAACAGAACGAAATAGTAGTGGAGGAAGAATTAGAAAAGCTAAAAGGCATTCTCGAAGTTATGCGGGAAGAAAGGGAAAACCATTTTAACGAAATTGACCCGATTTTAGCCCGAATTAAAAAAATTGTAGACGAATGAGGAAGTTTTTTTAAAGGGGAAATTAACCAAAAGGAGAAAGAATTGGCGGGGGTTAAACGTCAGTTAGAGGTCGAGAAAAAAATTGCGAGACGAGCCAGACAAGAATGAGGACAGGCCAACGAAAAAGCCGCACAATTAGAAAAAGAACTATTCCTGAAAGATGTAAAGGGAGTGATGGTGGGTGTCGGACTAGGCGGAGCACTTTTCCTAATTGGTGGTTTTTATTGAATTATTAATAAACTTTTTTCCTCACCCTTAGAGGTTTTGGCAAAAAAGAGGCAAGAAGCAGCAAAAAAAAAAAAACAATGATGGTGAAAAGGATTAGAATTTTCTTACGCGTTAGGAGGCAACTAGGAAGCATGGCGTAGTATTTATTTATGACTTATTCTCACCAGTTAGTAGAAAAAAAATGACAAGAATATTGAACCAAAAATCAGACTTTTTGGACGGATTTAAGGAATAACTCGCAACCAAAAAAATATATTTTGGCGATGTTTCCTTATCCGAGTGGGAGTGGATTACACGTGGGACATATTCGGAATTATACGATTGCCGACGCCTTGGCCCGTTTTTATCGTTTTCAAGGATATAACGTGCTAATGCCAATTGGTTGGGATGCTTTTGGCTTGCCAGCCGAGCAATACGCGATACAAACCGGCAATCACCCCGCAACTTTTACGCAGGATAATATCAAAAAATTTAAAGAACAATTACTAAAAATGGGTTTTTCTTATGATTGAAGTAAGGAAATTAATACTAACGAACCCGCTTATTACCACTGGACGCAATGGATTTTCTGCCAAATTTACCGACAAGGATTAGCCGAATATAAAGAAATCCCTGTCTATTGGTGTGAAAAATTAGGGACAGTGCTCGCCAATGAGGAAATAAAAACTATTGAGGGGGAAAAAGTTTCGGAACGAGGAAATTTTCCAGTTGTAGAAAAAAAAATCTCCCAATGAGTTTTGAAAATTACTCAATATGCTCCTCAATTATTAGAGGACTTGGAAAAATTAGATTGACCTAGCAGC